GCTCGGTGGCTGCTTTCCTTGTAAATGAGTGAAGCCACCCCCACGCTAAAGCATCTTTCGTATAGGGAGAGCGTACACGGTGGCATCTTCCTTCTCAAGCAGCAGTGCCCGGTGTGCAAAGCTATCAGCTCATCACACGCTGAGATGTCACTTGCAAATTGCTTATAAAGTGCTGCGTGCACTTTTGAGCTCAAAAAAACACTTGGGTTTCTTTTAAAGCTTGCAGGAATATCCAAGGATACACGCTTGGAATAAGAAATGTGGGGGAATACAAGATATCGATGAGTCGTGTGGCAAAAACTCGGAATGTAAGACAGGCTGTTAGACAGGAGGTTTGGCTTTCCGGGTGTGTGCAGACAAACAAACGTGCTCACGTTTGTCATGTGTGATGTAGGAAGTTTGCTGTGTGAGTAGTTCAGTCCTTCTAAATGGTTTGCATACAAAGTAGTAGAATGAGATCCTTGAAATGGGGAGTTTCCCTTGTTTTGGTTTGTGTTTTCACACAAAGACAGATTTTTATGGGTCTTTTTCTTGGTAAAAGGAGGCTCTTCTTTTTGGAAAGGATCCTTGTGAGATGGGAATGTGTACTGAACTCTCTTCCTTGTTTTCAAAAGGAAATACAACAAGCAGGAAAGGGAACCAAATTTTAATTTTACTGGAGATGCCTGGGGATATGTTATCTGTGTTTTTGAAAGTGGTTTTTATTAGCTGTCACCTTGGAACCCAGACATTGTTATCATGGGTTAATATAAATACACAGAAACAGGAAAGAGAGGAGACTGCTCCTGAAGAATTTACGCCTTAGTGACCCAATTTAGCGTTTGCCTCCCTTTGAAGCACCCCCTGTTTTCAGTCCCCTGAAAGTTGGGGGAAGCCAGCCAGTTCTGGTAGTGTGCACACATCCCAGTTGTTTCCAGGGTGTTTTTCCTTGCATCTTTTTCTAAGAAGCTCAGGACAGGAAGGGCTTGAAGAGAATTGAAAGGGCTCGAAAAGAAATGTGGTTTAAATACTGATGTTAATCACCCCGGGTTATGTCCTGTGCTTTCTGTCTTTGTGTTGCTTACGGTGAGTATCTTGCTGTTGATTACAGCGTGAAAGGCAAATACATACAGCAGTCATTTTGTTTGTCAGCTCTGTCGTGGTGATGCCAGCGAGCCTGTCATCTTCTGTGCTCTTTGTCTGGGGGAAGAAACCTCGGATCAAAAGACGTGCTTAGCTGCTTCACAGTGGGCTGATACAAGTTCAGTCAAGCATCAGAACTGAGGGAGTTACGTGGAACTGAACATCTGAATGAAGTTTTGGTAGAACTCGAGGCTGGAAAGGAGCACAACTTCCTTTTTTCCACTTATCTAATTGTGACAGTAATAACACTCCTGGCTCTGGAGAGCGTGAAGGCTTTTATCCTGGAGTCCAGTGTATCTGTCTGTTCCATTGAAAGTGTTGGTTTTAATTTGTATGCTCAGAGATCCGAGACTGACTGCTCAGAATTCCCAAAAGCTCTTCTGCCCCAGTGTTTGTATGTCAAAATTGTAAAAAGGGGAGGGAAGATAAATTCCTTGTTTGAAATTACAAAGGAGAGTGTCTGCAGACGGACCTAAATCCTAAATGTTGCTGTTGGAAACTGTTAGTCCTGAATTCACTTAGAAAATTGTCTCCTTAATGCCACAGACAATCGTACAGGCAAAGCCCCATCCAGGGATTTACACGCTCGCTGTGGCCCTGGGTGTCTGCAGGGTTGTTATTTCCACCCGACAGAGAGGAGGGAAGCTGGCAGAGCCGGAGCCTGGGTGGGAGCCAGGGTTCGGGGCCGGGGGACGCAGCTGATGCTGATGCAGGTTGTCAGTTTCTGCATCTTGTTACAGCCAGGCCTGTGTCTCTTCACAGCAACTGCATGCCAGAAATATGGCTACGGACTGGCTCGGGAGCATCGTGTCAATTAATTGTGGAGAAAGCTTGGGAGTCTACCAAGGACGAGTGTCTGCTGTGGATCAGGTCAGCCAGACCATTTCCCTGACGCGGCCCTTCCATAACGGGGTCAAGTGCCTCGTGCCAGAAGTCACCTTCAGGTTAGTGCCTGTCTTTTTCCCTCCTGCCTTTTTCCAGGCGTGGTCTGTGGGGATTTGGGTGTTTGGTTTTGCCCCAGAAATCGGCTCTTTGCCGTAAATCCCCCTACTGGTGCTGAGCATCTTTGGATGAGAAGTGCCTCTGGTGTTACTTTGCACGCAGGCGATTGTTTTCTGGCTCTGTGATCCTGGTGTTAGATCAGAAGTGGTGCAGCTCACACTTGGAGCTTACTCGTGGGTGAGACTCTGTGTGTGTGTGTATAAACATTCTGTTATTAGTTTTTTGGGTAGCTGAGGGGGCTGATATGCTCTCTTCAAGCTTTGCCCTCAGCGTGTGTACTCTGTGTGTGACAGAAGAGAAGGCAGAGTGGTAGATCAATTAAAATGGTTGCCCTGATGAAATTAAACTGAGTGCAGTCATTAAAGCCAACTCCATCCCCTCTGTCTCTTGCTGTGGTCTTTCCTCTGTGCAGACAGGAGAGAGGTTGGAACCAAAAAGCTAAGTCGATGCAGCAGTGTTGTAGCTTTCAGGAGTTCATTCCCACCAGCTTCTGGTAACACTGTGCTTAAAAAGAATAAATAAGAGTCACTCATCACTGGATATTTTCCTCTTGCCTGACATATTACAGTGGTTTAGACTCTGAGTCACTGATTTTTAAGTAAGATTGATTCCCTGCAGTCAATACTCTTAATTTTATTTTATTTTTCCCTTGGATTTTGAAGAGAGTGAGTGGGGAAAGATGAAGACTGTGTTCTTCCAGGAGATGTATGGAAGTCTATAGCAAGGTCTTGCTACTTTTCTATCCCAGGTGGACAAATCCTTACTAAGTTTAAAATAGAAGACCTTAACTTCTGGTCTATTTCTTGCAGTCAGTGCAAATGGGCCTCTTTGTAGTCCCTTCTTTGTTTCGTTTTGGCTCATACCCAGTGCTGTATTGGTTTTCTTTATCCTTTTTCTGAGGAAGCAGGAAGCACCATCCTTGTCTGAGCGTGAATTACCCTAATCTGAGGGTAGCTTTCTGTAGAAATGGATTAAAAGTAATAGTAGCCTCGAGGCTGAGAGTAATTGTATTATCTAGAAACTGTTAATGCAGATTTCTGCAAAGATCTGTGCCAGTTGCTTCCACTTTCTGCCTGACCGATTCCCGTTTCAGCTAGGAACAGAACCTTTCAAACAGTCCAGGTGCAATATAGAAATACTCAGGTTATTACTTTGAAGATTCATATCGTTTCAGCTGAATATTTTTGGTATCTGTGGAAATATCCTCTGTGTTGGAGTATTTAAAATATTTTTTTTCTTGTTTCTATTAATAGTGGCATCAGAAAAAACCCACTGAACAATGTTGCTTATTTTTCTTCAGGGGTTGTTTTTTGTAAAGGTACCCCGAATGCTAAATTCTGGAATGTCTGGTTTTCTTTTCCTGTTTTTAGGGCAGGTGACATTACTGAGCTGAAAATCCTGGAGATCCCAGGGCCAGGGGACAGCAGACAATGTGGGGACCTGCAGCAGATGGAAACGGGCATCCCTGGTGTTGGATGCCAAGTTGGTCCCAGTCAGAACGGCACTGGGAAAGTGTTAAAGAAGCCCATCTCCAGCAGTGCCCCGCAGAATATCCCAAGGAGAACGGACATGAAGAATCAGGATATTATCATCTCTCCGCAGCAGCAGTGCTCCAAGAGCTACATGGATCGACACGTGGAAGCATTGGCTCAATCCAAAGGCTTTCGTCGTCGACACAATTCCTGTGAGTCTGTGTTACCCTGCAGCTTTCCTTTTGCTTGTCTGGTTGACCACTGCAGCATCTTCCCTTCCTCAGCAAGGACATTTCAAACGGTGCTGGAAACTTTGGTTCCTTTGCTTTTATACTAGTTTTGCCACCTGAAGGTGTGGAGAATCATAGAACGGTTTGGGTTGGAAGGGACCTCAAAGATCATCCAGTGATCCCTGCCCAGTGTCCTGCCACGAGCAGGGACACCTTCCACTACACCAGGTTGCCCAAAGCCCCATCCAACCTGGCCTTGAACACTTCCAGGGATGAGGCATCTACACCTTCTCTGGGCAACCTGCTCCACTGCCTCACCACCCTCTGAGTGAAACATTTCTTCCTTATATCCAATCTAAATCTCCCCTCTTTCAGTTTAAAGCCATTGCCCCTTGTCAAGTGATGAGGAGAAAGACTCCACAAGCTGTGCCTCAAAGTATTCTAAGGATAAATCTTCTCAGTGGCTGGTGCTTATCTTTAAATCCTTTATGATTGGATGGTGATGCCGTCTCATCCGTAATTTGGTGTGAATGTTCATGCACTTTTTTTAAAACTTGTAAGACTGGGCTTATAAAGATATATATGTGTACTTGACACAGTACAGAGATATAAAATGGTTTTATTGGGTAGGAATTGTCAGGTGCAGTGGGTCGTTTGACCTGGTCTGCCACTTCTAGATTGATTTTTTTTTTTTTTTTTTTTTTTTTTTCTGTTTTGGTTTTTGGGGTTTGGGGCTTGTTGCTTTGTTGTTTTGGGGTTGTTTTGTGATGTTTGTTTGTTTTTTTAAGAAGAATACATTGTTTCTCTAGGCTTCGGGCTACCTTACAGAAATATGTTCAGGGTGTATTGGACACAGGGTTGCTTCACTGATGTCTCCATTGCCATCACACTGCTGCAGACCTAAGTTCTAGCTCCTTTTCATCTAGGGAGAGACTTAAAAACTATTGCTGGAGTTCTTTGGAGGCAGATTTGCTCTACTTTTCCTTCATTTCCCAGGGAAATATCTTTCCTTGCTAGCCTGGAAAAGTTAATGCAGAGAAGTCAGTGCTGTTCTGTTGGATAACTGGAGAGTAGGTTACATACTTAATTTGTGTGTGCTCTTTGTGCTTGGTCCTGAGCTGGTGTGGAAGAGCAGCAGAGAGCAGCTGGTTCCAGTGGAGGACTGGAACCAGCAGGCCAGATCCCTGCTTATCCTGCTTATTGTAGCGTTTCATCAGCTGAAAATCGAGGGAGTGACTGTTCCCTGCCTTCGGTGGGGTGTTCCACGGGAGGGCCCGAGGCAGTGCTTGAGCACGTTGCTTTTTCCTGTCACCAACCTAGTGAAGGAGTTGGGAAGGTTGAAGCAGAACTTCCGATGTCGTTACTCGCCCGTAAAGGCTGGTGTTCCTTCGGTGCCTTGCGGCCACCTTCCAGAAGTCAGCCTGTCCAGAGTAACCTCCGGAATCCTGTGGGTAAGAAGGGGTTGTGTGGATGGTTTCATTTATTTATTAGGTTCATCTCACCACTTTTGTGGGATGTTGGTTGTGTCGTGGCAAGCTTCCTATGCCAAACATGCTTTGAAGGTTGGGTTTTTTTCCCCCTCTCTCGAAACCTGTTAAAGGAAATGAGTCTTTCTGAACTTTCAACGCTGCAGGCCATTCTGTGTCTCTCTTCTGAACATGGTAGTATAAAGAGGAATAGTCACAAAAGCTCTTCTGCTGCTCATTTAGGACAGAAGCAAGGTGTTATTCTGTACTTCCAAAATGGGTTGGGATGTGAACTGCAAATTCACATTCCTGTTGCTAAGAAATACCAGCCTTTATTTCCAGGGTGCCTTACTTCATTTAGCTTTCGGATACGTAAGACAACATTTAAGAAGGAAAACGCCCTCCTCGCTCTCCCCTCACCCAGCATCCTGGTCTGATCTCTTACCCCTTTCTTCTGTCACTCCTGGCATGAGCTTAGAGGTGGGGTTGAGAACAGTAGAGATGGCCAGTACAAGAATTTAGGAGATAACAGGGAAAAGAGATGAACATAGGGTGGAGAGGAGCAGCAAAGATGCGGAAGGAAGGAGCTGCCTCTCCTCACAGCCTTCAGCTGTAGGGGCTGATGTTTGGAGAGGCATAGGTGATACTTGGGAGCTCTTAGGGAGTTGCTATGTTACGCTGGCTATGGTGGAACTGGAGCGACTGGGGCTGTAAATGGCTGCAGAACCAAATAATATGGTGGGGCACGAGCTGAAGCATGGATAGAAAAAGATTATTTTATCAGTTGCCCTACAATCGTGCCGTACGTTTGTTTTTTACATCTTTTTGCCCATTCTGTTCCAGTTCCCCAAAGAACAGCCCTGCCTGAGTATGCAAAGAGCAGCAGACTGGTGTTTTCCTTTTCATTTCTGAGAGAAGTGTGGTTGACGCCTGTTCACGTAAAAAGCAAATAATTCTTTAACAATTTTTTGTTAAAATGAACATTGAAGTGTAATTACACTTGTGTATTATTCTGCTTCACCAGCATCAAACGTTGGAAAATGTGGAGCTGAGCGACGCTGGTTTCAATGATTTCCTCATTCTTGCTATTTTTCCTATTCGAAAATTGCCCAATTGCCAGCCTTGGTTTTTCCTCTAAAAGGAACTGGAAACTAACTGCAATATTTTAAATCTTTTCTATTTAAAGCCTGTATAACCGTAACCTGTTGCACCATCACCTTACAAGTCATGACAAATGTGATTTGCTGTGTTGTTAAAAATACAAATGAACAGGCGCTGATGAGGTGATGTAAAGATACAAAGTCAAGCATCCGTTGTTTTTATTGCTGTTCCTAAAATCTTCAGCCATCTCTCACGCTGTGCCAAAATTGGGTTTGTTCTTTTTTTTTTTTTTCTCCCCCACCCCCCCAGGCTACACTCCTTTCCAGATCTTCATCAGGCAATTATTGAAGCGTCAGTATATATCCAGCATATTTCCATGACTTAATTATTCAAGCATCAGTATGCATTCAGTGGATTTCCATGACTTCATTTTTTTTTTTTTCACCCCCTTGCTTTTGTGTTTAGAAAAGACACAAAACCAAGGTGGGCAAGGCCAGTTAAACAGGGAGATCAAAGGCCCTGTTTTTGTGGAGAGCTTCTTGGACCTCTGGAAGCCTTCCTCCCCCACCATCTGTATTTGTTTCTGAAAGGGTTAGAACTCTTTTTGCATTTGCTTCTTTATTTCCATGATTGCCAAACAGGGTTGATGGGAAGAGGAAGACCAGAATGATGTGGGGCGGGGTAAGCCCGCACTCCTTGGTGACCTAAAAGTCTTCAAGCCTGTTTGGTTTTGAGTATTTTGCTTCTCCCTAGGACTAAACACTGTAGTACTTGCTGTAGGAACAGAGCTGTGATTTCTTAAGGTTGATTAATTATTCTTTTTTTAATTCCCTGACTCTTCCTAAATTGCAGTTGTTTGAGTACGTTACTCTGGTTGTTTGTAGAAAAACTTTTCCAAACTTCAGCATCAGCTACCTAAACGTGTAAAGTAACTCCTGCTTTGCTTTCTTCTGGCTAGATGGAGCATGTAGGAGAATTACCTCGCTTAATGCTGTTTTGCCAGTGTCTGGTAGGTCTGGGGCGAGCAGTGAGTGCTTCAAACCACTTCAACCCACAAATAGCTTGCGACAGTTTTACATAAGCCCAACAGCGGGTCAGATTTTCTTTTTCTTTTACAGACTTTGTCTGAAACAAGGTGCTAGATGTAGGTTATTGTTAGCCTGGATTCATTTTAGGATAAATGAAGTAGAAAAGTGAACTCTTGCCCTCTAAAATGCGTGTGTTTGGAGAATAGGGCAAGTGATGTGTGAATCTCGGGAGGGGGATGGCAGAGGTCCTGGCTCTGTGGAGATGGTGGGTACAGACATCCGGAGAAGAATGGGCTGAGATGTCATCTAGAACTTAAGTCATACAGGGTTTAGCACAGCTAAAGTTGACCTCTTGATGCCCTTTAGCGTGCCAAGTCAGGGACAAAGTTCCCCCTTTGGAGTACTTGTTTGACAGGAATCAATAAACAACAAACATCAACGCAGGTTTCACAACAGTGGTTTCTGTGCCGTGCTGGCACCGGGCTCCTTCGTGCCAGGGCTGGCAGCAAAAGCTCCCACAGGGATCTCGTGGGAAGGCAGCCAGCTCGCTAGAGACTTTACATTTGCTTGTGTGCTGTACGTGAAAGTTTTTGAGTTTTCTTTTTTTTTTTTTTCCTAAGAAACAAAAAAAGCCTGGGAAGTATTGTTTGTCTTTTGAGGGAGGCACTTTTCTGTGCGGCATCAAGCTGCCAACTTGATGTGGAGCCATGTGCTGTTCTCCTTAATAAGCTTCCCGCGTATGCATGCAGGGCAGAGGGGCTGGAAGTTACGATCCACAAGGAGCTGGGCTAGAAGGTCTGGCTTTCTGTAGCCACTTGGATCAGGCCATGGAAGCAAGTGTGGCTGTGAGTAGCAGCTTTCAGGCAATGGCTTGGTCTGGCATGTCACACTAGTGCCCTGGAAGGCACTGGACACTTTTCCCATTAGCCTTGTTTTGGATTCTCCTGCCTGAGTTGTCCCTTCTCTCCCCCTGCCCTCTTTTTAGGCTCTTTTCCTCTTTTTCCCTGAGCAGCGTGAGCTGCCAAGTCTTGTTGCCTGTCTAGACAGCGATGCCTTAAGAGGAACACCGCCTGACTTTGCTCGGAGTTCGCTGGAGGCCTCTGCCACGCTCTGTGCAACTTCTGCTGCGGGGTCGTAACGCAGTCTGTGGAAAGGCAGCCGGTCGTGTGGGTCAGCGGTGTTTCGGAGTTGGCATCCCTTGGTATGGATTAGAGAGCTGCCCACCACAATGCCGGCACGTCTCGTTTTGATGAGGTACGGTCTTGGCTCCCGTTCATTGTGTCTGCAGGGGAGCCCGGGGAGCTTTCCAGCCATTGTTCTCACAGCTTTTTCCAGTGCAGCTTTTCATTCCGTCAGCATTTACACACTGCTCACATCAGCTGTCTCCATCCCCTGGGTCCGTTGCACAGCGGTGCATCTGTCCCCCGCGTTTTGCTTTTCAGGTCAGCTGAGGGTGGCGTGGAGTTGTTTGCAGAAGCATCTGGCAGTGAGTGGAAAAACTCTTGTTGAGTGACAGGAACAGAACGAGTTGCTTGAACACTTGATGTCGACACAAGAAGCAGGCTTGTTTAGCCATCGTGTTCGGGGTAGGCTCCGGTGTAAGCTCCAGCTTGCTCCCGTGAACTCTGGAGAGTCCCTCTGGACTGTTGCTTCGACCTGGAGTTTATGAACATTTGGAGAATTCAGCCTGCTGGGCTGGTCCGGATTTTCATTCCGTGGGTGGCTGATAGCAGCAGCGTTGGGTGCAATTCCCTTTGCACAACTTTGGGGTGGTTTACATGGCAAACCTGGAAGTCGTGCATTAGTGAAAAGCTTTCCCTTTCTCTCAAAGCTGTGCGTGTAAATGACTGGTCACAGCTTGTATACTGGAATTCTCCTTGCCACAAAGCCTTGTCCTTTCCCTCTCCAAAATGTTGTTTTGTCACCAGCAGTTCTTGAATTCTGCCCTCTGTCCTTCAGTGGCCGCTTGTCAAAAGGTGTGTTACAGTAGCCTGTTCTCACCCAGTCGTTCATGAAAATTCCTTGACATCTTCAGCAGCTTGAATATCACCGTGTCTGAAAACAAACTACCTGCTGCTGTTAGGAGTAATTTCAAATTATTATAAATAGAGGCTATAAATAGCCCGCATTGTCCGAGCGTGGTGACACTGACCACACGATGGTGTGGGGCTCGTTTCGGTCACGCCGGGACGTGCAGAATAAATCTCTCGTGCTGACTGTCGTACTCGTACTGCTGTTTTGAAGAGGTGAGCGGCTTTGTGGTGTGGTCAGTGGATTTTCCTGATGCAGTGAGGTTGGAGGAAGGGCAGGTGTGTTGCTGCGAGAGGCTTATGCAGTTAGCTGTCTAGCTTGGTAGATGGCCTTGAAGATATTTTATTTAGCATAGCAGTGCTGTAGCTCTAATGCTATATGGAGAAGAAAGGAAAAAGCCAGCTGCTTTGATCTAGTGGAAGGTGTCCCTGCTCGTGGCAGGGGGGTTGGAACTAAATGATCTTGAAGGTCCCTTCCAACCCAAACCCTTCTGTGATTTATAATTCTGTGATCTTCCATTAGGCCAAGTGAGAAAGCAGGGGAAAGTTGGTTCTTTCGGTTTCTTTGGTGCTTGCTAGGGATGCTTGAGCAAAACTGTTTTTAAACTGGTATAACTAGAGCGCTCAAGCTCATGTTTAAAACAGAAACCCCACCAGAACAGCAAACTACTCACATTAGGAAAATGATCATTGGGGGGGGGGGGTTTGCTTGATGATTCCACGAAGCCTTGAGGATCTGGGGTCTTGTCTCCTGCTTTTCAAGGCAGGAGGTACTGGACTCTGATTCCTTGTGTGCTTTTTGCTGTTGCAGGACTTGTGAATTGTAGCATAATTGGAGACTGGAGCTGCAGCAGCTTTGAGAGGGAGTGTTTGAGGGTGTTCAGGTCTGTTTTGTTTAGCTTAAGCACTTCAGACATCGGAGAAGAGACTGCCGAGCATTTCAAAGAGTTCCCTTGATGTGGGGGCTGAGAAAGCTTTCAGGTTCGTCACAGTTCTCGAGGAAAAAAAAAATAAAATTTTAGACACACTGTCTAAAATATGAGGGGGAAAAATAAACTGTGGAAAATCCTTACTGAGACAATGCATTCCTAATTGAGAATAAAACCAAGTACATGTCCTTAGCAAGTCATCTTTCAGCGTGGCGTGAGTTAGATGGGGGCATTAGGTGAACTCAGTATCACGCTGTAAAACAAACTTGCAAGAGCTTACAAAGTCCTTGATAAGCCTTTCAGAACTCCAGACAAGCCTGTGTATGTCTCCCAGGAAAGCACTCTCTGCTCCAATCTGTTCTTACCGTGTTTCCTGCAAGGGCTTCAGGTGATCCTAAGGGTGTTCTGGAGTTAATGGTTGCAATTTAAGTTGTGTAATTGAGCTACTGAATAACTTGGCTGTAGAGAGATGAGTTCTGTTTGTTGACTGGACCGAAATCTACACGTTGGTCTTCAATGTGCCTGTTCCTGTCCTGATCTTGAAATGAATGAACGCTCCTGTAGAAACAGCTGACATGAGGAGGGTCCTTTGCTTTCCAGGGGAAGTGCCGTTCGTCAACGGAGCAGAGGATTTCACTGTGGGATGTTTTCTAAGTATCTTTAGACAACTTGAAATTCTTCCTGTCTTCTCTCAGTGATTGGCAATAACGTGTAAAGGCAAAAAAAATGCTGCTTTTTCATTTATGGACAGGGTATATAAAAAGAATATGTCATCATGGTAATTTGTTTCTGGTTATCAAATGGATTCTGTCAATAAACTCATTTGTATAAATTGCTGGCGAAGGTCTTTTTCATAACCGATGATAAATATTCCAGTAGAGCAAGCAGTTTTGGTGTGATAACTCTTATTCCATCTGTTGGACACTGTAGGCGATACCTGTAATTGCTGGAATTGGCCTGAAATATTTTACATTAGTCACTGAAATTTAGGGAAATTCCAAAGGAGGTCTTGGGCCACACGCCTGCATGAACATGAGCTCAATACAGGAGAAACCTGTCCTATGTCAGGGCTAGCTTATTATCTTATCACTAATGTGGTACTACCTGGAACTAAATAAAACGTGGAGAAACCTGTGTTTTGCTGCTGTGGTCAAGCTTGTTTTTCGAACCTTGCCAGTGGAAAGTCCCTGAAAGCCTCTCTCCTGATGCTTTTCTGCTTTCTGTTAGCTCATATTAGCATGGGTAATGCCAAAGATGAGGCCTGCAGCTTCTTTGGGAAGTGAGTATCCCTTGAGTCGGGGGACTGCAAGCACAAGCCCCCGTCTCTTAGAGGATTCGCCGAGAAAAGTGGCTTTTTCCATTTCCAACACGCTTTTCACCTGGCTTTTATTTGTGTTTAGGGTCGTCCAGCAGCCGTCACCCGAACCAAGTGACTCCGAAGAAGAGCGGCCTGAAAAACGGGCAAATGAAGAGCAAAGACGACGAGTGCTTCGGGGATGACATTGACGAAATCCCAGACACAGATTTTGATTTCGAGGGGAACCTGGCCCTTTTTGACAAGGCAGCTGTGTTCGAAGAGATTGAGACTTACGAGAGGAGGAGCGGCACCCGTTCCCGGGGGACCCCAAATGAGAAACCAGCTCGCTATCGGCATGACGAGAACATCCTGGAGTCAGAGCCCATCGTCTACAGAAGGATTGTGGTACCCCAGAACGCTAACAAAGAATTCTGCACGGGTATGCCACATCCCTTACTGATAAGGATGCAAACCCTGCTGTTTTTCTGGGGCACGTGTGGTGGATTGTTTTCCCCACGGGGTGTCTGTCGGCTTAACGTGGTACAAGCAAGGGCATTCGTTTACATCAGGTTGGATCTGTGCCTTGTGTCTGCATACAACCTTTATTGGCAATATTTCCCAGATAAAAAAAATATTCAGACAGGGCAACGAGGTAAGTGTTTTTGCAGGAGGGAACGAAAACTGGTGGTTGGATAAGAAGAATGGAGACTAAATAGGAGCCATTGGAATCCTTGCTTTGATTTCAGTCGCGTGACGAACCTGTGTGGGCTTGATTGCTGGCTCTGGAGAGAGAGGGATGGTCTCAGGGTTCCGGTACATGATAGCATGTCATAATTCGTGCTTTCTTGGTAAAAGGCAGGAAATTTCCTGTGTTTCTGGTACTCCTTGGGTAGTAGTTACATATTTCCGCGTGTTTTTGTGGAACTTTAAACGTTATTCGTGTAAAAAGAAACAGTTCTGGCTCTTCCCGTTCGCGATTCCAAACATTCCTTGTGCAAAAGGGTTTTTATGTGGGGTCTCCCCCCACTGCTGCAGGGTGAAAGATCGAGCCCGGGAAAGCTGGATGAACACAGCATTAACACGCGTGTAAACTCTGTGCTCCGACAGCAAGCCGTGCCTTCCCTTTGCTTTGCCTTTGTCTTAATTGGAAAAAGAAAGGAAAACTCCTTGGCTGCAAATTCCCTGTAACTTTAGCCCACTTACGATTTGCTTTGCACGCTTTCCAGCACTTGGAAAACGTAGGAACTTTGGCGTTCCAGGAACGTTTCTTTTCCACGTCAGAATAAAATCAAACTTCAGATCTTTTTGGAGAGGGACGCTGATTAGCTCATATCCTGGTGGTCTGGCCACCGTGCAGACGTGGGATCGGGTCCTTGATCTGGCATTCTTTCTGTGCCCAGAAACCCTCTCTGGGGTGGGAAACACTTCAGAGAAGGAAGCTGATTCGTTTGAAATGATTTGCTGCTTTTTAATTGTTAAAAAAAGTCATTTTACAGCGATATCTTACTTTTCCATTTGTGACATCCATCTTCCTGTTGATCCATTCTGCTCTCGAGTGAGATAAAAACGCACTGGGCCATATCCGAACTCGTCCAGCTCAGCCTCGTGTTCCCAAGGATACTTAAGGAAAAGTGAAAGAACAGAGTAAGCGTGCAGTGAGACTTTCTGCTGAGTGCTTTGTCTTTCAGTTTTAAGACTTCCTGAAGCAGAAGTATAGTTCTGATAATTTCGATGAGGTTTTTTTTACTTCTGCTTAATTTAACTCCATCCTCCTTTACTATGGAAGCTGTCGGCTCCGCGTTTGCAGCGTGCCGAAGGGAGCAGCCCGGTGAAAGGACTGCTGTTTTCTTGGTGAGCCTGTGCAGGGAGGGTGGCAAACGACCCCCCTCTGGAGTTGCAGGGTCTCTCTAGCCTCATTAGCTACTGTTGGGTGGTTAGTCTCCTGTATGGAATTCTGGATTCGTTTGGAAGGAAAGCTGCTGTGTCACACAACGGGCAGCAGATTGACAACTACAGTTCCCTGTCGCCTGTGCTGAGCAGGGCACGTTCAGAGTCCTGTGAATGATGATAAAAGCATCCCAGTGCCGTGTCTCTCTAGATATTTTTCCCACAGAGAGTGACTTCCTTTGTGTCCGCTAAGGAAGTTTATTTTTTGCTCAGGAAATGCTAATGGCTCTCTAGCAAGAGCTCTTGTAAATGGTTGTAACTTGCCTGCTGGTTCTGGTATTCAGTCCAGCGAGTCAGCCCTCCGAGGGACAGAAGGATAGTCAGTGTGCTCGGAGTAATGACGGGCTGTCACTTGGAAAAATCATAATCCTCATGTCTTTTGTTTAGCAACTGGAAGGAGGATGGGAAGCTGTGGACAGCCTGCCTCGCTTAGTGACTCAAAGAGCAGCAGCTGCTGAATTCAAGGGAGAGTGCCCCTAGCCCCAAAAGCCATGATTTTGGTTGGATGTGTCTGTGGCAGGGTTTCTCTTTCTGCCTCTGAAGTCTCCCTGCGGAGTTGTCTCTGGGCTCCGAAGGGCAGCTCCACTTGCAAAAAGCACCTCGTAGTTATAGGAGAAATAAGGACTTGATAATTTTTTTCCCTGGGTCAGTCTGGAAGGTGATTGCCTTAAAAGAGCTCTGACTGATAGAATAATTATTCTGGCTGCCAGAATAGCACAAACAAAGTGATGCTGGTGATTGACAGGGAGCTAATATATCCAGCTCTTGTCACTGTGGGAGGGGAGGAAGTCTGTGGGTCCTTGCATGCTCTTTTTTGCCGTGTTTCCATGGAGCTGGGAAATAACAAAGGTTGTGCTGCAATAAACCCAGCAAACTGCTGATGCCTGTTCTCCAAAAGGCTGTTCTGCAGGGCTTCCAGTCTGTGTTTCTGTTACTGACTGAAATAAGTTGGTCTGTGTGGGATATAAGCAAAGCTGGATAAACACTTCATTCCACCAGCATGCTCTTCTGAGAGCTGCTTTTAGGGAGCCAGGCTGTCAAGTAAATATACCGGCGTGTGTTTTGGACGTAAGCAGGGAACGAAGATGGGGATCTGTTCCAAGCAAAAATGAAAACCTGAAGCTAATAGAGCTTACCACGTCTTTGAATCATGGCTGAGCTGAGTCCATCCCTAGGGCTCCACATAGGAACTGCTCCCAAATATATAATGAGTGTTTACTCTCTTGGGCTGGCTGCTATTGGTCGGTCTCTACTGTTACATGAGGCTTGGTAGGAGAAGTGCAACTGTTTAACAAAAATCTGCTTCCCTGGGAAGGCTGGACCTTTTTATGCAGTCTGAGCTGTCTTTTTCGGCTTCCAGAGCTGTCCAGGTAGAGAATTTAAACATGAGTTGGCGTAGGTCTGTCTCTGTTCCTTCTGTCAGCATTGAAATGAGCTGTGCTTTGGGATCGGGTCTTTCAGCAGTAGCTGCAAAGCCAATGTTCTGCAGGTGTTTTGGAGCTCAGAGGAGTTTGCAGCAGGATGGAGTATCTCAGTTCATCATCAGTGACTCTATCTGATACAATCTCAAGCATACCAGGCTCTCCAGATCGTTCTTATTTTTGCAGTTCGTTTCTCCTTTCCTCTTAACTTTGTTTCTGCCAAAAAAGCATCTTTGTGAGCACGCTGAGATGAGTTAAGAGGGGAGCTGTGTGTAGGTAAGGTGTGTATTTCCTTCTCTGATGTACTAGTAAGGCTTTGTCCAGAGCAGTTTCTTAATGCTTAATACGCTGTTTCCATCCCAGTGTCTCTTCTGGAACATAAACGGGATTTTTCAAACTCAACTGCTACAGAAATTTGAGGCGGCCACTTGTGGAGTGAAAGCAGGACTGTGCTCAAAAAGTCGGACGTTATTTGTTACTCTGTGCTTCCTCGAACCAGACTTCAAAGCTGTCCTTCCAGAAACGTTTTTCCACCCCGCAGTGCCGAGATAGCGAAGGAAAAGGCGCGCTTAGGAGTGAACTCATGCACCAGGATCGCACTACGAAACCAAGGCTGAGTCTGTGGTGCGAGGGCGATGCCGACAGCGTGGCTTTTTTGTGCGTGCCACGTCCTTGACTGACTTTTCTACTCCCGAGCTTTTAGCTCTCCAGTCCATGGATGACTGCCTGCAGCGATTGTGTATGGTGAATGTGTGAAGTGTTTCTGGGATCTTTGGAGTAGAGTGCAAATGAAGTTCACTTTATCCAACCGCAGGAGAAAACAAAGCGGTCACGGGGCAATGTCTCTTTGTCTCTCAGACAGTTGGTTTTTTTCGCTCAGCTGGAGGGAATTGGGCATTAACGCTGGGAGAGGCTGACATTGGAACGTCGAATTTGTCTTAATTAAAAATAATGATGATTTAAAAAAAAAAATCTAACCCTTAAGGTTGTGGGGAAAATCATTCATGTCCTTGGGGCAAGTAAGTGTTTTGCTGAGTCTGCAGGCAGGTGACTCCAGCTTTACAACCAGCAAGAAATGTCCCACCTGCCTAAACTGGGCAAGAGTTACGGTCACGCCACGTAACTCCTCTTAGGCGGTGAACCGTGCGGCTCTGCAACCTGGAGTTAGTTATGGCTAAAGGAAAGAGCTAATGGCTCTACCTACAGCTTTCAGCAGATCCCAAGTCTAATTCCATCTCGTCCGTTCCTGCAGCTTGCTTGTATTTATTTGAGCAGCTAGAGAGCTGCTGAAATAGTGGAGAGAAAAGCTGGGGCTTACACGCTGAGCTACTCGAGCAGCACCATCTCTTTCTTTCCCTGCAACTGAAAGCATGGGAGATGTTTGGACTTCTGACAGCAGCATTGCGCTGGGCTTTTTTTTGGGGGAAAACCAAGTTTTGTGGACTTGTGGAGAGTTAGCTCAGGCCTTCTGTGGGTACAGGGTGTTTTAATCCAAGCAGCATGCAGGTGACGTTGCGCAGTGAAGCTTGACAAGATAACTTGTTGGCAGCCGTGGTGCCCAGGACAGAGTGTGCCTCATAAACAGAGGATACTTCGTGTTCAGTACTTTGCGTGTCACAAAACTGCTCAGCCTATATTTGCCTTTTTTTTTTTTTTTCCCAGGCAGCTGTAAAATACATTTATTTAATATTAAAAGACCTGAGCTAATTTATTTTATTACCTTCATTACCAAACAATAAAGACGCACCGTCCAACGCAAACATAATTAAAGTTGGCGGGGGTTCAGTTTTGTTGCAGCAGTGTTATTGTTTGTGGGTTCACACGTCACCTCCTTGCTTGCTTTCTGCCAGAGTTTATTTAACTCCCTCCGCCTGGTTTTGTAAGCCAGTCTGACTGGTCGGGCCTTGCGTGAGGGCGAAGAAGGGAAGTTCTCTTGGCATCTCTGCTTGCTCTCGAGAGGGGAGCAATTAGGGCAAAGCACTGGCATGCTAAACGCAAGTTCATCTCATGCCTCCGCTGCCTCCCAGTAACCCCCTTTGCATTAACCCACTGGGCCCCGCGTTCTGCATCGAGCTGGTGGTAAATGCTTTAGTTCAGAGAAGACATAAAATTTTTTACCATGAGAGTTGTAGAACACTGGAACAGGTTGCCCAGAGAGGTGGTGGATGCTCCATCCCTGGAGACGTTCAAGGCCAGGTTGGACGAGGCCCTGAGCAACCTGATCTAGTTGGAGATATCCCTGTTCCTTGCAGGGGGGTTGGACTAGATGACCTTTGAAGGTCCCTTCCAGCCCTAACCATTCTATGATTCTATGGTCATCCTAAATGGGAGAGATACAGAACATGGATCGACCGTGTCGAGTTTAGGGGAGTTGGTGCAAGATTAAACAGGGAGTTTGTGGCCCTGCGGTTCGGAAGGAGCAAACTCGCAGTTTGGGAGCCTCCTGTTCCAGGTTAGCGGAGGGTGCAAGATTAAACAGGGAGTTTGTGGCCCTGTGGTTCGGAAGGAGCAAACTCGCAGTTCGGGAGCCTCCTGTTCCAGGTTAGCAGAGAATGCATCCTGGCAAACTGTTTGGAGAGATCCTGACCTCGGGTCACTCATTCCAAACCCTCCCTCAAGCTTGAAAAACAAGACCTGATGAAGTAGGGGAAATCCAAATGGGAAAAACGGCAGAGCTGAGCCTTGCGTGACTGCAGAGGCTGAGAGGGTGTGTGAACACGGAGCAGGTGCGTGACTAGTGAGACGGGATTAGGATTATTAGTGGTTTATGACTCCAAATGTTCGGCGGCTGCTATCAGGAATCTGCAGTGGCTTTGATAATGTGCACGGGCGCTGCGTGGAGTGAAGGGCTGGTAGCAGAGGTGGCTTAATTGGCGCTTAGCATGCGAGGGCAAGCGTTTGAACACGTCGGGGCCCTCTGTATCTGCGAAACGC